ATGGACCCGGCCGTGTTCCGCGCCATCGAGGGGTGCGGCTCTCAGACGACGACGACGACCACGACGACGACCACGACGACCACGACGACGACGACGACGACCACGACGACGACGACGACGACGACCACGACGACGGCCGTGTTCCGCGCCATCGAGGGGTGTGGCGCTCAGACGACGACGAGCCCAGTTCTCGGAGGAGGAATTTGTACCCACACTGCTGCCCTTCGCCCGTTTTCCCCTTTTTGTGCCTCCTGGGAGGCCCTTTTCGCCGCCATTGGATGCGCCTCGAAATCCTGGCCAGAACGCACCCTGGGAGAGGTCCGGGGAGTAGTGGTATCGGTACCTATTGATCTCCGCAAGATCTCTGAGAGTACTTATGGCGTGTTCAATCCTGTTTTCTTCATTTCGATTTCTCGGGGGCCATCATCGGGCCCCAGGGTTCTTTGTAATCCTGTCTCCTCTCCGTCCTCTCCCATTCTAGATCCCATGCGGTATCACCCCATTCCGACCTCCTTCTATTTAGGCGTATTTCGGTTTCGATGCTTCCCCATTCTGGTTCCCTCCCATTCAAGTTTCCTCTTCCCATTCTGGTTCTCTCCCATTGCGGTTCTTTCCCATGTCAGGATCCTCCCATTCCAGCTTCTCTTTCACCGAGGTTTCTTCTTGTTCTGGGTTCCTCGCATTCGGGCTCTCTCCATTTTTCCAGCTCGTTCCATTCCCTCCGGCCCCAGCTTCTTGGTTCCGGAGCTCCATCAGAATGGGGACCCAATCGTAGATCTTGAAACGCACGAATTCTCGTTTCAAGATTACCACGGTGGGGTGCGCCATCAAGTGTTGGTGCACCCCATGGCGCAATCTTCAAAATTTACCCCCCGCCCAAGAGTTCGCACATGTGTCGAAGAAGTCGCTGCTTGTCGAATCGCGTCAGGTCGTACCAAGCTTCCCAAATTCCGCAAAACCTCGTCACATTGAAATTCATCAAGTCGCGTCAAGTCGGAGTCGCCGCGTGAAATTCCACGAGGAGGGACCAAACGAGAGGTGGCGACTGGCCCGCTCGAGCCGCCGACGTAGCCACCGCGCGGCATGCTTACCCAGCCGTGTGCACGGGAAGGCAGATTCTGTTTCATCATTGCGCGTGCGGGATGGGACGAGAGATGCGGCGGAATGGAGGGATGTCCATCCGCGTCTTGCGGGGGGCGAGGGCTCTGTCTCGCAAGCGTGGCCGAAACAATAAGCAATGGCCCCAGGTTTACGGCCGAGCATCTGATTAAGAAACCCTCTCCGGAAAAGCTGGGCCAGCGTTTCTTTACCAAGTTGTTGTACAGTTGAAACACGAACACTTGGCCCATGCTTGTCTTAAGCAAGTTCCGCAAAGCTGGTCCAGGTATCTTAAGCCATGCTCCCCTTGATCATACACTCGGCTATAGTTCCTCGAGGAATCGGCATTGATGCTCCGTTGTCCGCCAAGAATCAGAGCGTGAATTACCTACCCCGCTCTCGCTTCCAGGCAAAACCAAGCCATACCACGCGCCTCCTCGTCAAGCGGCCTGACCAGTACAGGCTGCAATTTGGCATCGTCTGGTATCTCTTGGACGCGAGGGTGGTCAAAAGCGAGGTAGTATTGTTTTCCCCCCAAAGAAATCGTTTCACAGCTCTGCCTCACAAGTCGTCCTCCAGTCCACCGCGCTGTGGGGAGCGAGGGGCACCCGCCTGTCATACTCGGAGCACCTGGCCGTGAAGCACTAGCCTGGGCGGACAGAACTAGCCCCCCCCAGTTGCTGGCGCAGGCAGCCTGGACTGTCAATGAGGACGCTTCCAGTGGCACGTGATCAGCGGCAGGATGCAGAGGTGGAGGCACATTGGTGCCCGGCCGCCCGCGGCGATGGGCTCTTCGCCCGATTGCGGCACCGTGCATCGGGGAAATATAAAAGAACACTGCGTGCTCATAAACGTCGAGAAGCACGCACGAACAGAAAAAAAAAAATGAGGACGCTTCCAGTGGGCCATATGTACGGTGGTGGCGTTCGTGAAGGAATGCGCCCAGGAGGCTTCAGGCCCCGGAGGTTTCGTTCTCCAGTGAGGGCGGCGGTGGAGAAGCACGGATCCCTGGTCGACAGGGCGTCACCGCCGAAGCGTTGGTCCCCCGGCCAAGCAGACGTCAGCGCCACAGGGAGAGCGGCACCGCATGTTGTCGCTGGTTTGGCTGGGGAGTTGACGCTCGAGGTGATGTGGTGTTTCTGTTTCGGTGTTTCTGTTTCGTTCTGATGTCGTCCCAGTTCACCGCTAATGACAACACCAGGCCTGTTTTGAGTTTGCGCTACATGCGTTGCTCCGAGATGCGATGGTATCTCGTTTCCGTTTGGCACCGTGCGGGTAGCGTGTTGGCCGAAGGAGACATCGTTATTGCGAAACCGATTCAAGTACGTCGCCTCTGATTTCTGCCCTGTTACGCATGCAGCTACTAGTACAATCAAGACCGTCCCAACTGAATCCACGCAGTGCGCTTCGCCAAACGAGATGTTACCATGTGGCTTTGCGCCTGCGGCTCAAGCAGGAGCAAAGCCAGCGCGTGTCAGGACGCACCGCGGAGCGTCTCTACACCGTCTCTCAGTACGCTTGCGAAGTTGTCCAACTGCCCCCAGCCACGCGCGGCAGGGCACGAGGGTCCCGGAACAATGCGCGTGCACCTAGAGCCTGGGCTCAGCCGCCCTGTGCAAGCACTAGATGAATTATTGGCGCAGACCTTCCAGCATCATGTACCTGCGGGGTGACATCCCGATAGCCAATTCTGGGTCGAAGACCTGGGGCCATGCCTGGCGCCCCTGGATCCAGACCTTTCCCTCGGGTTACTTTGCGCCCTGGGCACCTTTGTGTTGCCGCCCCGGCTTCCAGAAACGGCCCTCGAAGGTCGAAATTAAAAATATTTTTCCGCGCTAAAACAGAATATTCCGGCGGAGATCTGGGCACCCTGTTCCCGCGACGCTCCCGGCGGCGGTCACGCGGCGGGGACCCCTTGTACGTGCTCACGGGGGCGGGGCAGATCCGACGAGGCGTTCTACCACGCCGCAGCGCATGGCAGACAGCGCTTGGCATTCTCCGAGGAATAGGTAGTGGCAGAAGGACGAACTTTCCGAGGTGCGAGTGGACTTCGAAGATCGGCGCTGGACCCCCCTCCCTTGCGCGCCAGGGGCGGCGCCGGAGGCGCCGACACGGGACTCCAGCCCCGATCCGAGAAATCTTCGTGGACGTCCGAAAGTTCGCTTGTTTCCCGAAGGCTAACACGCCTCAACGCGCCAGGGGGTCGTCCTCCACCTCGTTCCTCCTCGTGCTTGTCCTCCTCCATCCCTTCCTCCTCGTCCTTGTGCTTGTCTTCCTACTCGTTGTGCTCCTGCCTTCGCCGATGCCCTCCCAGTCAGCCACACTGTCATCCTCGTCATCCACCGCCGGCTGTGCTTACCAGCCTCGAGCAGATCTCTGTCCGTATAATTTGCATCACCTGATCTTGATGCCGATCTGGGTTCCTTGAGTTTTATGGGCGCATACATACGATTGTCATCGCTTTGGGGCTGGCCAACCATGGCAAGCAAGCAAGGAAGATGGCCAAGCATCCTGAAGGACGCGTGGGCTGACAGGCAAGGACACCCGTGGCTTCTGCCAACGCTCGCTGTGGAAAACTCGTCGAACAGAGCCGGCATCATATTGTCGGCGCCACCACGGTCTGGACTCAGCCGCCCGGCAGGAGGACGGGGCGAAGGACAATGAGGAGGAGAAGGACGATGAAGGGGAACAGGAATGAGGAGGAGGAGGAGGAGGACGGAAATGACAACACACTGTTGCCACCTTCCGTTGCCCATTGCCCACTGTTGTCTGGGATAAGCTCGACGCTGGCTATGCGCCCACTGTCCCCTCGACGTTCCCAGCAGTGCTCGTACGGCGGGGTGGGCCCTTCGGCAGCAAATCATGGGACCCTAGTATACCCTCTTCATTCCGTCTCTAGCGTCGACTAGCGCCGATTGGCGTCGGGGAGTCGATGAGATAGCGCCGACGCAGCGTCGGTTGGCGTCGGCCAGCGTCGACAAGCGTCGACTCGCAAGAGCCGACAAGATGACATGGGAGGCTCCCGTGAGTTAGGGGAACAAGTGGCATAAACATAAAAACTCGGAGGTCTGCGCGGACCTCCGAGTTTCTATGTTTATGCCACATGTTATTCCCCTACGTAAGATGCCACCGAAGAGGGGCCACCCGCTGTTCCGCCCGAGGGGGAGGAGGAGGAGGAGGAGGAGGAGGAGGAGGAGGAGGAGGAGGAGGAGGAGGAGGAGGAGGAGGTGGAGGAGGTGGAGGTGGAGGAGGAGGAAGGGAGGGGAGAGGAAGGGGAGGAGGAAGGGGAGGAGGAGGAGGAGGAGGAGGGAGGGAGGAGGAGGAGGAGAGGAGGAGGAGGAAGGAGGAGGGGGGGGAGCAGGAGGAGGCTTAGGAGGAGGCTGAGAGGAGGAGGTGAGTGGAGCAGGCCCTGCCCGGTGCGGCCGCGGCTGCGGCCGATGCCGAGCCAGCGCCCACTGCGGGGGGGAGGGGGCGGGTCGCGGGCGCGTCGGGCACGGCGGGTGTCCCTGCTCAGGGGAGGGGGCAGGAGGAGGAGGGGGGGGGGGAGGAGGATGGGGGGGGGGGGTGGGGGCAGAAGGAGGAGGGGGGGGGGGGGGAGGAGGGGGCGCGGCGGGGGGGCGAGCGAGGGGAGAGGGACGGGCGGCGCCGAGGAAGGCGGAAGAGACGCAGATCGGAAGGGCCGAGAGTGAGGCGGAGGGGGAAAAGGGAACGGGCGGCGGGGGAGACATGATCGCGTCGTTAAAAAATCCGGACGCTAGGTTTTGAACAAATCTCGGCCTCGGGCGGCCCTCGCGGGGCCTCGGCGCCGTTAAAGAATGACTCGGGATGAAAAACCGGTCCCTGGGAAAGGGTCGGGACTTCCAGGGGCCCCGCATTGAAAACATAAGGACGTCGCATGTCCGGGCCTCGAGCCTGCGGTCTGCCAGGACAAAAGAGTGC